CCCCCCAAATGTTTGAATATGGAATACCGTTTAACCCAGGCTGGCTGAGGGGTTTTTTATCTGTTTGGCCAGTAGCTGCATACAGATTCTTCTCTACTACCTGTGAACGACAGATTTTACGAGGGCGAAATAGGCCCAAGAGGATGTTTCAAAGTGAAAACAAGCCTTGGGTATGCTTCGAGCAATGTCAAGTTTATAATGAAAATATGGAAAAAAATAAGCAACTCTCTAGTGCTTTCCAGTTTAACAAGAGTTGGACACAAATACAGAACTCTGCATCAATCACTGTGCCAATTATCCTGACAAGAAACCTATAAAAATATTTAATTAATATAAAAGTATATATTTTTTCAATTCTATTAGCAGGAATTAAGGGGCAAGAAAATGCTCTCTCTCTCAAAAAACACCCCCCCAAATTCTTTTTCTTTTCCCAATAATAACTTAACAGTGACAAATTCCATTTCAGGGAGAGTGACAGCAGTAGAGCCTGTCAAATCAGTCACTTTTTTTTTTTCCTCTGCCAAGTGCTGTTTTTCCTCTTGAAAAGTGTCTCAGATACCCTCCATTTGGTGTGATGTCACGATACATAAGTTACATGTGCTAAGCATGTCCTTTTAAGGAAAATACCAATTGAAATGGAAATATTAAAAGTTTTCCAAAGGAAATAACAGCGTTTTTCCAGATAGTGAAGTTTCCATGTATGACACAGGACACTTTCCTTCACAAATTGCACTTTTGGATGAATAACAACTGGAAAGAATTTGAACAACTCTATATCCAGAGCACTTAGGTCAGTGGTTCAAAAGGGGAGTTTTGAGGTGATTTCTCAAACGATATTTTATAACTGAGGAGGCCATTTCGAGTCACTGGCAAGTGTGTGAGGTTTGTGTGCATAAACCTAAGAAAGAGGAGAGACTCTTTCTCCCTGAAAACCCAGTGATGGTGGGGTTTCAACTCAATCAGCCTTATCTGATGTGTTTGCAGGCAGTTGTCTGAGTGCTGGAGACACTGAGGGAATGGGGCAGTTGTCCCTGTGACCTTTGAGGGCCACAAATACTATTTTCATGTTTTACTTTTATACTTCTTCCCTGTTTTGCTCTTAAGGTGCTTCTCAGAGCTGCTCACGTTTACCAACTCCAGTGAACTCTTTGGTTCCTTGTAGTTTTCCACACAGTCATGACATTGGGATATCAGGATGAGGCTGGAAAGCAGCTTTTGGTGGCCCTCAAATGATCTTAACAGCGCTGTCACTTAACCTTTGTTTTGTTTGAAGGCTGCCCTTGGTACTGGAGGGTTAAAAGCAGTGTGTGGTTCCTGAATGGAAGCATCTTAGTGGAGCTGCCTGCTGGGAACCAAATTGAGTAGGATTGTGTGGTGGTGCTTAATTTCCCTAACAGCAGGAATTACGAGTCAAGGACTTCATCTGCAAGAACATTTGTGACTCTTCTTCCTTGAGCTGTCAGTGAAAACTATCAGGCAGAGGTCACTTCATAAAGACAGAGTTGCTTTACTACTCATTTCTCAGATAATCTGCCGTGAATGGGCTTGGTTTTATATATTTATTGTGTTGAATAAAGTGTTATATTTTCTGTGGGGTCGATGTTGTTACAGTACACCAATAATTTAACTTTAAAAAAAAATCAGATACAGTGCTGAAAAAATATAATTACTGATGCTCCTTTTAGTGAAATGATACTTGTGCAAAAAACCAACTTTTTCAGAAATTACTGCTTTAAGTTGTTGCATGGCAGGATGAGATGGGTAGATGTTGTAGGCTCATAAATCATAATTTAGGTATAACCTCCTTAGGAAAACATATTAACTCCAAACTGTTTGACAAGAGTTTGATGGATTAAATGACTTTTTGAAAATGTTAATGAGCTCCAAATGGAACGGTCAAAAGTCCCTCTTTTTATTGTATTCTCCTTCTGCAGGCTGATTTATGGTGTGTGTTCTCCCTCGTGCTTTGACAGGATGCTCTGGCAGTGCTGGCTGAGGTGGCTTATGTGGACATGCTGGAGGGAGACACGGAATGTCACGTCCGCTTCAAGACTCCCGAGGATGCCCAGACTGTCCTGAGATCCCACAAAGAGATCCAGCTCAAAAACAACTGCAAATTCGAAGTTCTCACTGGTAAGACTTTTTTAATGTAAGCTCCATTTTTTTTTAATGTACAGGAGGAGACATAATTATTGTGGAAAGGATCGTTTCACGTGGTGGCTTTAGGATGTGTTTAAATGGCTTGGCTGCTTGGTTTTTGGGGAGTAATTTTACAATTAGTGAAATGAATAAAACTCTAAGGGGTTTTATGCCACCATTCAGAGAAAAATAAACTTTGCTTGCTGTTAATTCTATGTGGTTTTTTGACTGATTTGCTTCACTTTCAGTGGAAATGCACTTAATTCATGTCAGCTTTATGAATAGAACATTCTGATGATGCAAAAGATATTTAAAGAGACAAATACTGAACTGATGTGTGAAATAACAGGTCAAGGGTCCAACAGTATGGATACACTTAGAGTGGGTTTAGCACTTACCTACTAATAGATCTTGATTTTTCAGGAAGTTAGATAACTTAGGCCAGAATAAACCTTTTTTTAATTGTATTTACACAAAAATTTCCACTGGTTCTACTTTGGAACTTCATTTTAATGGGTATTACTTCTTTCTGAAATTACTTCATGTCTTGGATTGGATTGGATTAGTTTTCCAAGTGTAGAAAAATCTCTCTATGGAATCGAGAGGTAGAAAGAAGAGCAAGTCTCTCACAATAAAGCTTTTAAATTCTAGAAAGGCACTAAAAATTCTAAATGTGCAAAAAAAAAAAGCAGATGAGATTCCCTCATCTGTGTATTGAGATTTTACACAAATCCTCACTTGAAGTCCAGTTTCATGAGTGCAGGGATGTAAACTCCCCAAAAAGCCAATTAAGGATTGCAGAAGGAAAAGCTTTAATAGAAACATCAAATTTCATGATAATATCGATGTTAATTGAAGTTTAAGACTCAGTGAATGCTGCTCATGTCATTGGGGGATAGATTTGTCTCCAGTGTGTTCTTGTGCTCCAGAGATCCAGAAACAACTTTTAAATTTTGGCTTTTGCAGCTGAGTGCTCTCAGTTTGTCTCTCATTGTTTGTCTCTGGTTTTGTAGTCTTTACATAAAAGTCTAGTAGGAGATTAGGAGTAAGTACTACATTGTAGGAGCATTCCATTCATAGTATTAAGATTTTTTTTTTTTAACTGGCTCATTGAAATGAGAATGGAAAAGCTTCCCAGGAAAGCACAAGGGACTCCCAGTAAGGATTTTAGTTTTCCTCCCTGGCCTAAGGTGAGAGAATAAGAATAAGGAAAGTAGTCTTTAATGCTCCCTACTAAATCTTTCCCAATAATATTTTACTTCTTAAGACTTGACTACTAAAGATATTCAGCTTTTCATCTGGCAAGGTGGTAACATGTGACCATGATCACAGATGCTTCACTTTTGCAGGAATATATTTGGGAGACTTCCCTGTAGCTGAACCATGAGACCATACAAGGTATCACAGAGTTCCCATTGTGGTGGTTACATCCCAAACCAGAGGGAACAGTGGAAAACTGCAACTAAACTGCAAAGCAGTTGCTGAGAAAAGCTGCACAATTATTTCCTGCCCATGTTCAAATATTCCTGACAGCTCATGGAGTCCCCAGGCAATGGTTTTGATGGAACAAAACAATCTCAGTTGTTCTTACAGTAATGACATTTTTTTTTCTGTTTGGTAGTTGTTTTAAAATGAGTCAGAAGTTGAGTACATGAGTAAATCAAAGGGCCTCCGTGTGCTGTGGTGAAACTTCAGCTAAAACTCACCTCCTTTTGCTCATGACATGTAGAGAGGAATTCTGTAGGACTTCTGTGACCAGGAAATTTTAAGATTACTGGGGAAATACTTGCTGGGTTTCCCTAACAGGTATTTTCATGTGTGAAACCTGAAAACACTACATCCATTTGTGTCCTACTTTTATTCATGTACTTCAATGTTACTTTTTCTTCAAGGTGACAATGAACAACGTTACTGGCAGAAGATTTTAGTGGACAGACAAGCTAAACTTAACCAACCTCGAGAAAAGAAGAGGGGGACTGAGAAGGTAATGTGCAAATCAAATCTCTTTCCTGCACAGCCATGGTTAAAAACATGACTCTGTTTCTGCACAGATCCATAATTTTTGATACTTTGTGTATTTAATTCAGTTAAATCATTTTTCAGCAAGAGTTTTACAGCTACAAAGGAGAGAATGTGTGTCTGTCCCAGTCCAGTTGACAAGTGCAAGGCTTGTCTTTCTGGGGACAATCAGAGAAAGTTAAGTGTGTGTCTAAAGGCCTGAAGTTAATTTTAAGCTGGATTTCTTTTCAGACCCTCATGAAAAAGTTCAGTAGTCTTGATGTGCTGCAGTGAAATCAAGTCTAGTGCTGTACTGATAATACTCTACCATGATGCAGAAAATGCTTTTCTTGAGACTGAATCTCATTTTCCTCCTGACTTCCACAGTTTTATTTGTGCAGTTCTGAGCTGTGGTGAATGCTGGCAATCATCCAGAGCTGTACAGCTTCCAGATCCAAACTGGGAAATTCCCTTCCAGCATTGACCTTGGGGTGCCTGTCAGGCTGCAGGGTTGAGGCAGTGTTGCAGTGAACTTTTGCTGGCTGCAGCCTCCACTCCTGCCACAGAAGATCCTTCCAGGCATGAAGGGTTCCTTGATTAAGCCAGTCAGATCCTCCACCTGACAGAGAGGAGCCAAAGAGTATTTCACAGACCTTTTTATTGCCAGGTTTGCTTCACACACACTGCAGATAAGGTTTCTGGCTTGGCTTTAACCTGAATTTTTCTGCTGCTGCTTGCAAAACTTCAGAATCATCTGACCTTAATTATTTGCTGGTGACTTTGGGGGGAAAAAATTACATCTGTAATTGAAAATAAAGATTTAATTGACCTAAAGGAACAGGGGTTGCACAGGTCAGAGGCATGTTGGACATGTTTGTCTGAATGTTCTTTCAGAGATCCCACACAGTAATGAGCAGAGTTCTTTTAAACAAAGGTGTGCATAAAGAACTCGTCCAAAGGTCTGATTTGATTTTCTTAAAAGCCCAAAGATGGCATTGACTTGAGCCATTTTTCTTTAATATGACTAGAAAGGGAATGTGAAAGCTCTACAAGTGTAGAGCGTTTTACTGAATGCTGCCGGTTGTGGTGGTTTTTAATGTGCTTTTACGTTAGACTTTAATTTAGACTTGGTCTCAATTTTCTACTCTTCATCTTTTTGAAGGTTGGTATTTGTTGACCAAACCGGTGTCAATTGGGCAGTAATGCCCCTCATCTTGGCCTGCAAATACAAACTGTCTCGGTCCTGCCTAACAAAGGCAGCACAGGGATGCAAACTCCTGCTCCTCCCCCCTGCCCATCACCTTGCCCGCACCGGGAGGTGTGAACTTCAAAGCCCGGGGAATTCTATTTAAATGCTAACGCTGTTAAGCAAAAACATCAAGACAAGAATGCCTGGCTGCGGTCAGCGACTCTTAACCCTTTCCTTGCTTTTGGACGGGCTGTATTCCCAAAATATCGACTGTTTAATATCATAAAGTTCTTCCTTAGTGCTTACGAGGTGACTTCTTTTGGAGCGCACAATAAAAGAAAGGAAAAAGTAATTATTCATAATAAAGTACCTACAGCAAAATATGCCAATGATGTATCTTTCTTTTAAAGGTCTATTCTGCTAAAAATCTTTTGAAATACCTTACCAGACTTTGATTATGGATGTTTGCCATTTAGCTGCTTTATGCTTGGAATTAACACATCAGCTTATACTTTCTTTTAATTAATGTTGAAATGATGGGATGCAGCTTTTGAGTGGAATTTTAGGCAGTTAGAAAACGTGGAAAAGAGCAATTTTTAAGAAGTATAAGCATACTCTTCTTTCCCTGGGATAAGGGTTAAGGATAACCTGAGCAGATTTCTATAATGATGCTCACCCCCAAAACTGATTAGACTAGATTTAAGTAGAGATTTTACTTTCTCTGGCATAGTTCTTATAATAAACTAAATGTCCAAAAGAGATATTCCCAAGGTTCCCCAGAACTTGACTAAGGCCTGGCTGTCCTTTGGAGTGAAAATGTGTTCAGTGTCAGGCTTTCCCCCTGGTCTGGTCCTTCATTGTCACCCCTCTGCTGCCCCTTCCAAATCCATCTTCCCTTTTGTCTGTGGCTTTACTGCCCTTATAAAACCACCTCGGTGATTTACTGATGGAAAACCTTCCTGCCAGAACTGCTTTTTAGGGCAGTGCCAGTTTATTCAGACCTAAAGCAATCCATCAGTCTGCAGCCTTAAACTCCAGACTGATTGGAGTCTCTCATTCCCAAAGCCAAGGAGTGGAGTGCCTGCAAGCTTTCCCCTTGGATCTTTGTCTCCCAGGGGGGAAGGAATGTGGTTTGCACCTTGTGCCCCCCTTTCCCGGAGGGAAGGAGGAAGTTTAAGAGGCTGGGAGGGGTGGCAGAAGTGAAAGGCTTTTGGTGAGGAAGTGAGAATTGGGTATTTGTGAAGGGTGGCATAATTTACAGGATGTATGGAAAAGGAGGACAGTGGGAATGTCTGGGTACAGCCCACACTGCTCTCTCCTGATGATGCCTGGGCAATTCCCTGTGTGTGGGCCCATTCCAGAGCACATCCCCAATTCCCTGGCTCTGTGACATTGGTGTCTGTGGAAGGGCTGGAGACCCCTTAGGAGACAGGATTAGTGTGCTCAGATACAGGCCCTGATCCTGGATTGATGAGCTGAACACGGGAATTCTTGAGGCCTCTTGTGAGTTCTGAGGCACTGGTATAAAAACACTCCCTGGTATGAACTGGGCAGCTCATGTCCTACAACTTCCCTTGTTGGGAATTCTTCATCCCATATGTGGAACGAGTAAACCACTGTACTCCTCACTTCTTAGTGTTAAACTCTTTTAGTCATTTTTTTGGGTTTTTTTTAATATATCAGAGAGCAAAAGTAAGCCTTGGTTACATCTTTAGATCAGTTTTATTCCTCTCTTTCTGAAATCCTGGCTGCCACAATCAGTGCAGCACCATCCTGTGCACTTCAGTGCTGTCTGTAGGCCACAGGCATGCAGAAGGAACAAATAATTTGATTTATATGTGAGATTTTACAAATCTTGCAAAGTGGGGCTGCCAAGTGAGCAAATGCCTCCTCCCCAGAGCAATACCTGATATATTTGAGTTGGTCCCCAGAATAGAAGTTACTGTGGGGTTTTTCTGTTTGTGTGTTTTTTGGTTTTGGTGTTTGTTGTTTTTTTATTATTATTTTATTTTGGGGGTTGTTTTTTGTATTATAGCTGTCTGGTTTTGTTTGTTGTTGTTTTTTAATGTGGTTCTGTGACTTTTTGTGTGGTGTGTGCCTGCAGTTCTGTGTGGTTTCTTGTGGTAGTTTGTGGTTTCTGTGGTGGTTGGGGTTGTCTGTGTGTGCCTTTTGAGTGTGGGGTTTGTATGTGCCTTTGAGTATATTTCTATATATTAGGGTTTTGGGGTGTTCTGTGGTGTTGGGAGACTTATGCTAATTTTTTCTTGTGTTTTTTTTTTTTTGAGTTGCATATTTCTGGGTTGTTGTTTAGTGTTGGTGGTGTTTGGGGGTTTTTTCGTGTTATTTTTGGAGAATTTGGTGGGTTTTTTTGGGGGGGG